ACATTGATTTTGTATCCTAAGACTTTGCTGAAGTTGCTTCTCAGCTTAAGGAGATTTTGGGCTGAGACGATGTGGTTTTCTAAATATACAATCATGTCATTGGCAAACAGGGACAATTTGACTTCCTCTTTTCCTAATTGAATATCCTTTATTTCTTTCTCCTGCCTGATTCCCCTGGCCAGAACTTCCAACACTATGTTGAATAGGAGTGGTGAGAGAGGGCATCCCTGCCTTGTGCCAGTTTTCAAGGGGAATGCTTCCAGTTTTTGCCCATTCAGTATGATATTGGCTGTGGGTTTGTCATAAATAGCTTTTATTATTTTGAGATATGTCCCATCAATACCTAATTTTTTGAGAGTTTTTAGCATGAAGGGCTGTTGAATATTGTCAAAGGCCTTTTCTGCATCTATTGAGATAATCATGTGGTTTTTGTCTTTGGTTTTGTTTATATGCTGGATTACGTTTATTGATTTGTATATGTTGAACCAGCCTTGCATCCCAGGGATGAAGCCCACTTGACCATGGTGGATAAGCTTTTTGATGTGCTGCTGGATTCTGTTGGCCAGTATTTTATTGAGGATTTTTGCATCAATGTTCATCAGGGATATTGGTCTAAAATTCTCTTTTTTTGTTGTATCTCTGTCAGGCTTTGGTATCTGGATGATGTTGGCCTCATAAAATGAGTTAGGGAGGACTCCCTCTTTTTCTATTCATTGGAATAGTTTCAGAAGGAATGGTACCAGCTCCTCCTAGTACCTCTGGTAGAATTTGGCTGTGAATCCATCTGGTCCTGGACTTTTTTTGATCGGTACACTATTAATTATTGCCTCAATTTCAGAGCCTGTTATTGGTCTATTCAGGGATTCAACTTCTTCCTGGTTTAGTCTTGGGAGGGTGTACGTGTCCAGGAAATTATCCATTTCTTCTAGATTTTCTAGTTTATTTGCGTAGAGGTGTTTATAGTATTCTCTAATGGTAGCTTGTATTTCTGTGAGATAGGTGGTGATATCAACCCTTTATCCTTTTTTATTGCATCTATTTGATTCTTCTCTCTTTTCTTCATTATTGGTCTTGCTAGCAGTCTATCAATTTTGTTGATCTCTTCAAAAAACCAGCTCCTGGATTGATTGATCTTTTGAAGGGTTTTTTATGTCCCTATCTCCTTCAGTTCTGCTCTGATCTTAGTTATTTCTTGCCTTCTGCTAGCTTTTGAATGTGTTTGCTCTTGCTTCTCTAGTTCTTTTAATTGTGATGTTAGGGTGTCAATTTTAGATCTTTCCTGCTTTCTCTTGTGGACATTTAGTGCTATAAATTTCCCTCTACACACTGCTTTAAATGTGTCCCAGAGATTCTGGTCTGTTGTGTGTTTGTTCTCATTGGTTTCAAAGAACATCTTTATTTCTGCCTTCATTTCGTTATGTACCCAGTGGTCATTCAGGAGCAGGTTGTTTAGTTTCCATGTAGTTGAGCGGTTTTGAGTGAGTTTCTTAATCCTGAGTTCTAGTTTGATTGCACTGTGGTCTGAGACACAGTTTGTTATAATTTCTGTTCTTTTACATTTGCTGAGGAGTGCTTTACTTCCAACTATGTGGTCAATTTTAGAATAAGTGCGATGTGTTGCTGAGAAGAATGTATATTCTGTTGATTTAGGGTAGAGAGTTCTGTAGATGTCTATTAGGTACACTTGGTGCAGAGCTGAGTTCAATTCCTGGATATCCTTTTTAACTTTCTGTCTAGTTGATCTGTCTAATGTTGACAGTGGGCTGTTAAAGTCTCCCATTATTATTGTGTGGGAGTCTAAGCCTCTTTGTAGGTCTCTAAGGACTTGCTTAATGAATCTGGGTGCTCCTGTATTGGGTGTATATATGTTTAGGATAGTTAGCTCTTCTTGTTGAATTGATCCCTTTACCATTATGTAATGGCCTTGTCTCTTTTGATCTTTGTTGGATTAAAGTCTGTTTTATCAGAGACTAGGATTGTAACCCCTGCCTTTTTTTGTTTTCCATTTGCTTGGTAGATCTTCCTCCATCCCTTTATTTTGAGCCTATGTGTGTCTCTGCATGTGAGATGGGTCTCCTGAGTATAGCACACTGATAAGTCTTGACTCTTTATCCAATTTGCCAGTCTGTGCCTTTTAATTGGAGCACTTAGCCCATTTGCATTTAAGGTTAACATTGTTATGTGTGAATTTGATCCTGTCATTATGATGTTAGCTGGGTATTTTGGTCGTTAGTTGATGCAGTTTTTTCCTAACTTTGATGGTCTTTACAATTTGACCTGTTTTTGCAGTGGCTGTTACCAGTTGTTCCTTTCCATGTTTAGTGCTTCCTTCAGGAGCTCTTGTAAGGCAGGCCTGGGGGTGACAAAATCTCTCAGCATTTGCCTGTCTGTAAAGGACTTTATTTCTCCTTGATTTATGAAGTTTGGTTTGACTGGATATGAAATTCTGGGTTGAAAATTCTTTTCTTTAAGAATGTTGAATGTTGGCCCCCACTCTCTTCTGGCTTATAGAGTTTCTGCCGAGAGATCTGCTGTTAGTCTGATGGGCTTCCCTTTGTGTGTAACCCGACCGTTCTCTCTGACTGCCCTTAACATTTTTTCCTTCATTTCAACTTTGGTGAATCTGATAATTATGTGTCTTGGAGTTGCTCTTGTTGAGGAGTATCTTTGTGGTGTTCTCTGTATTTCCTGAATTTGAATGTTGACCTGCCTTGCTAGGTTGAAGAAGTTCTCCTGGATAATATCCTGCAGAGTGTTTTCCAACTTGGTTCCATTCTCCCTGTCACTTTCAGGTACACCAATCAGACGTAGATTTGGTCTTTTCACATAGTCCCATATTTCTTGGAGGCTTTGTTCATTTCTTTTTACTACTTTTAGTCTAAACTTCTCCCCTTGCTTCATTTCATTCATTTGATCTTCAATCACTGATACCCTTTCTTCCAATTGATTGAATCAGCTACTGAAACTTGTACATTTATCACATAGTTCTCATGCCATGGTTTTCAGCTCCATCAGGTCATTTAAGGATTTCTCTACACTGGTTATTCTAGTTAGCCATTCATCTAATCTTTTTTCAAGGTTTTTAGCTTCTTTTCAATGGGTTCAAACTTCCTTCTTTTGCTCGGAGAAGTTTGATCATCTGAAGCCTCCTTCTCTCAACTTGTCAAAGTCATTCTCTGTCCAGCTTTGTTCCATTGCTGGTGAGGAGCTATGCTCCTTTGGAGGGGGAGATGCACTCTGATTTTTAGAATTTTCAGCTTTTCTGCTCTGTTTTTTCCACATCTTTGTGGTTTTATCTACCTTTGGTCTTTGATGATGGTGATGTACAGATGGGGTTTGGTGTTGATGTCCTGTTTGTTAGTTTTCCTTCTAACAGTCAGGACCCTCAGCTGCAGGTCTGTTGGAGTTTGCTGTAGGTCCACTCCAGAGTCTATTTGCCTGGGTATCAGCAGCAGAGGCTGCAGAACAGCAAATATTGCTGAACAGCAAATGTTGCTGCCTGATCATTCCTCTGGAAGTTTCATCTCAGAAGGATACCGGCCGTGTGAACTGTCAGTCTGCCCTTACTGGGGGGTGCCTCCCAGTTAGGCTACTCAGGGGTCAAGGACCCACTTGAGGAGGCAGTCTGTCCATTCTCAGATCTTAAACTCCATGCTGGGAGAACCATTACTCTCTTCAAAGCTGTCAGACAGGGACATTTAAGTCTGCAGAGGTTTCTGCTGCCTTTTGATGGGCTATGCCCTGCCCCCAGAGGTAGAGTCTACAGAGGCAGGCAGGCCTCTTTGAGCTGCGGTGGGCTCCACCCAGTTCGAACTTCCTGGCCGCTTTGTTTACCTACTCAAGCCTCAGCAATGCTAGGCTCACCTTCCCCAGCCTCACTGCTGCCTTGCAGTTCCATCTCAGACTGCTGTGCTAGCAATGAGGGAGGCTCCGTGGGTGTGGGACTCTCCAAGCCAGGCACGGGATACGATCTCCTGGTGTGCCGTTGGCTAAGACAGTTGGAAAAGCGCAGTATTAGGGTGGGAGTGATCCGATTTTCCAGGTGCTGTCTGTCACTGCTTCCCTTGGCTAGGAAAGGAAATTCCCTGATCTCTTGTGCTTCCTGGGTGAGGCGATGCCTCGCCCTGCTTTGGCGCATGCTCACTGGGCTGCACCCTCTGTGCTGCCCCCACTGTCCAACAAGCCCCAATGAGATGAATCCAGTACCTCAGTTGGAAATGCAGAAATCACCCGTCTTCTGCGCTACTCATGCTGGGAGCTGTAGACTGGAGCTGTTCCTATTCAGTCATCTTGGAACTGCCCTCTAGAATCTCATTTCTAAAGTGCATCTGCCTCCAGATGGGCTACTAGTCCCATTGTCCAAAGCCAGAGATATCCTACATATGAAGTACATTATCCAGAGGAATGGAATTGCAGATTTCCTGTGCAACCTGCATGACACTGTTACTTTATATGATTCCCTCTAGTTATGTATTATTGAATCTGTGAAGTCACAATGCAGGTCTTTCAAAATATAGATGACTTTTCAGAGAAAAAGCAGAGTTTGCTCACAGCAGTTGGCGGCCTTCTTTGGGGGTGAGAAATTGTGGGTGAACATGACTCTCAGTGACCTCTGGCTCACTAACCTCTGCCCCGTCTCTGGCTCTGCCTCGTCAACTCCCATCTCTTTGCTGATGTTCACTCTAAAGGCTGGGGAATCCATAATGCCTATGGCTGAAGGATGCAGTGGAGGTGAATACTTCACATACAACTTACGAAAGCTCATTTTACAGTATTTTGTTTTTTTAGGCTTTGTCAAAATGTGGAGGATTAAAATAGCCCAAGTGACAATATCAATGAGTTCCTGGTATTGAAATGGCTGCAATGGGAACACCAAGTCAAAAATGTTGCTAACATCTTCCATAGAGAGGATGTTTTTGGTGGCCTCTAGATTTGGGTGGCTTGGGTGAGGGAGGGGAGGGATGAAGGAATCCATGCTAATGAGATGTTCTGTGAATCAGTTTCAGGAAATTCAGGAGAATCCGAAGAAGAAACCGAGGCATACATTACCAACACTGCATAACTCAGAGTTCACAAATGGCAAAGTGGGATGGCTCTTGAGAGCTATGTCATCCAGGAATTCTCAATGATTTCTTGCAGTCCACAATAAATATTGGAACATGGTGTTACCTTAGCTCTTCTGTTAATAAACCCTGCAATGTAACTTTTTCCATATTTTAAATATTTCTAGGAGGGCTAGAAGAGGAGAATATAACACATACCATGCAGTATTCCATAGAACTAGTTAATGTGGAGAGTTACTGAAAAAATGTAATGAGTGAAATAATATTACTTTTATTTATTTAATGCAAAAAATAAACTACCCATCAGTTACTCATTGAATTAGAATATACCTAATGTTACCCTCCTGAGAATTGTTGGATCCACTTGGAGGACTCAGTCCTTGAGTTTGACACACAGTGTTTTGGACCATTTGCAGTTCTTCATCCCACACATGTAGACTCCCAGGAGGTCAGGTTTTCAGAAGGAGAAGATGAGGAGGCGCAGGCATTGTATCACTCACTACTTTCTTTAATTCAAATGCACTCCATGTCTCCTTAGATTGGATGCTTCAGTGACACTTTTATCAGCTTAAGTATGCATGGTCTCTTAGCTTTCTGGCACTAAACAGAGAGAAATATTTAGAAAAAAGTGAGTATTTTCTTGGAAGTTCTACTTGTATATGATGGAGTAGGTAGATGAAGAGAATTACATTGGATTCCTGTAGCTGGAATAGAGATGCATTATCACTTGTTTGGAGATTCTAGTTCTTCTCAGACATAGTTCATACATTGAAATAAAAACGCTTCCAGTTGATTGTCTAAGATATACATATACACGTCTATGTATGCATATACAAACACACACAAATACATACGCTAATATGTGTGCATGTCTGTATGCTAATGAAAAGCCAACAGTTTCTAAGTAACTACTAGCTAATTCATAGCTAAAATATTGCTGTCACCCTTTTTATGTTTTGTAATGCTTAGTAACCACGTGACAGGTACTGTATACAGAAAGGTTATGCAGCATGCTTCATTCTGTAGTTGTGATAGGGACTCAGTAAAGTTATAGAATGACAATGTAAGAATAATGAGAGCTGAAAATGCCGCTGTCCATTCCAAGCACGATTGTCAGACTGGAATGTCTTGAGTTGGTGTGTCGTTCTTTAAAATTTTAGGAAAGCGTTAGGAATCATTTTAATGATTAATTCATGGTAAAGTAGCAAACATTCTCCTGTTCCTGGTTCTCTCAAAGGTCACTTGTCAATCTATTTTTATTTTAAAATAATGTGTGTGCAGCATATACTTCATTAGGAAGGACATTCAGAGAGTTTTCTAGATGAGAATAAAATGAATTCAGGCATTTGTTCCGAACGAGGCCAGATGTTTTCCCAGGAGTCTTGCATTCCTAACCACAAGCCAGTGTCTGCCAGATTTGAGTGTTAGGTCTCAAAAACTAAACACCCTGGGCTTAATGCAAATTAAGTTAGAATGAGAAAAGTAATTATCCAGGACTTACAACGGCCAAGTAAAGAAATGAGATGACTGCCCTTCATACAAGGAGGTGCTGCTGATCTGCTATTAACAAGGTAAGTTCCCTGAGATATTTTCTTGAGTTGTAGTCACGAGGGACAGTTCTGAACTAGCTGTGTCTTCTCAGGCTTCCCGTTCCCTTTTTCCTAAAGGTACACTTGAGAAAACAGCTGGATGAGCTTAAGGAATAACTTCCTCTACAAAAACTGCCTAACAGGAGATGTGGCTTAGTGCATCTACAAAAATAAGCATCGGCCTATGTGCTGAAAATAGTTCTGCTAGGTGGGAGGGCAGGTGGAGGCCATGCTGATAAAATATAGGGCAATCTTGGTCAAACAAATCATGTGTTGGGCCGAAAACATTTTCTGCTTCTGACTTTTTTGTTTGTTTGTTTCCATAGGAATTTGGCAGGGAAGGGAGACTGACGAGAGGGAAGCTGATGATTTAGTGCATTTGCTTAATGTTGATCACTTATTTATCAGAACAAGTACTGATCTCACATCCTGAAGATTTACTGCACAGTTGAACGGGGCGGAGGAGACTCAAGCGTGTTCTGGTGGGAATCCATAATGATGCTGAAGTCTGAGGCTGGATCTAATTCCCATGTAAATCAAGCTTGCTCTGGATGTTTCTTTTTGTGCAGTGGGGGACATGGTTTTGTTTGGGTTATATTTGAACCGCACTGTATCATAATAAAAAGCCAGAATTAAACTTCATTTGCAAGAAGGCATTCATTCTCAGACTCATGTATAGAATTTTAGAGCTGGAAAAGATATCTGGTTGAATGCCCGAGTTTATAAATAGAAAACTAAGGGACTTGCCCAAGGTCACACAGCCATGAGCATCCCTCCCCAGATGATAACACAATAGCTTTTAGTACCTTGGGAGACATTATCTTTTAGGCAGACTCTGAAAAGTATCCATTTTGAAAGAGAGAAGCTTTTTTTGGCTTTAATCTTCACTTGAACAGTTTCTCTAATGCCTGTTTTTTTTTCTTGAACAACCCTGAACACATCAGTCAAATGTCTTTAATCTTTTTTCCCTGCACAACACACTAGGCACATTGTAACAATTGCACATCTCACAGGATGTGGCTACAGGACTCCTTTTCTGATAGTATAAAACATGATATAATTTTCAAACATGACATACAAACCATCTAAGTTTATTGTGGGAGGTATACACTCCTCAAATGTAAATTTATACTTCAATAGTTAAGGATCCATCAGAAAATTCAATTGCATATGTTTATATATTTATATTCCTCCTTTGGAATCTTCCACTCTTCTCAGTTCTTATTAACTTGAGCATAGTAGAATTTGGTGAGAACCTCTGCTCAATTTGTTGTATATTAAATAAGTGTTTATGAACTGTTTGTTATGCACCTGCTCCTCATTTTTACCATATGAGATTGCTAAGACTCAAGGCCAAAATGAACAGAGTGTGTTTTCCAGAGGAACCAAATTTTAGAGCAGGAAGGGACAGTCAAGATCATGAGGCCACTCATGCAAGATGCAGAAATGGGACCAGATTTTTAGCACTCAGGCTGCATCCCATTCCATCATACCTGTGTCTCCCTTTAGTTCATGTCTTCTTATGAGAGACAATTATTTCATGAGTGATCATTTAAACGACAGGTTTAGGACAGGTTCTACTGACTTGGGCAAAAGGCATCTTGTTCTTGTTAAGTTCACATTTAAATATGTTTTGTAGGCATGTTTTCAAAACTAAAGACCTACTTTCTTATAAAATTGAGAAAGATAATAATTTGAATCAACTTGATTATAGGACGATGGTAACAGAATCTTGTAAATATATTTCCAAAGAGGATAGAGAAATAGAGAATCATCCATGTGAGCACTTTCCACTGAGAAAATGAAATTCGGGTTGTGACCCTTCAGGTCTTGCCATGTGGGCTTGACTGCTGAATGTGCATGGAAAAGCCTTTAGCATGTGAGGAGACATACCTGCCATCTGACTTAGCTCTTATTTCATAGATGAGAACAGGGAGTCCCATATGAATTGTGACTTACTCAAGATCACATGGCCATTTAGTGGCAAATCACATTGTTTCAAACCTCTGGTGTACATTCAACTCTCAGCTCATGTACTGTGCCCCCACTGAGGTCAAATATTCCAACAATCTCAAAAATACGAGCTACCTGAACATGGCCTTGACCATTTTGGTCTGAATTAAAGGAGCTCTCTAATAGTCCTGATGTTAGAGGGTGAATTTGAAACTTGAAATCTCTGGGTGCCTCCTTCAAGTTCCAGATCATTGTTTCTTGTCAGACTGCCTTTACTGAGAAACTCAAACTTTTAAGTAATATTGACTGCGTTTAATTGTTCTTTAGAATTCAGTCAGATTCCTCCATGGAGAATGTGAATCCCAGCAGGTATCTTGACCAAACTACAATCTTTGCCTAATCTAAGCTTTCATTTAAAGTTTTTCTATAAAATACGATTTTGTGAATGGGAGTTGATGGCTGGAGGCTGGGGAGTTTCAGGATATTGAATGAGCTGTCACATTACCATAACCTGATTTAGATTTCCCAGAAGGCAATTGTGACTGGAATTTTCTGGGCTGAAATGATGATGGGAGAGTTTTACGTAGAGAGGTTATGACAGACTCAGCCTGAGGAGTGACTGTAAGGGGAACGAATTGTGACTGGAGGTGAAATTCAGGGGTATGTAAAGGAATGCTTTGGGGCAGGGGCTACATTGTGGGGAAAAAGGAAGAGTTAAATTTGGAATTTTGAGGGCATAGAAAATTTTAGGATCAGAATTACTTGTAGTGAGTTGAATCATAAATGATGAATTTTAAAAAATATAGTCACACATCAGTCATTGCAGTAAAGTAGCTGAGGTATTTAAAAAACAATGATACCATTCTAGAACTTTTTTGGAGCAAAAGCTTAAATCTCCAAGGCTACGGTCAATCTTTGGTCTACACTTAAAAATTCCAGACTAAGTGAAGAACTAATTAGTGGTAGATCTCTTGGAATTGAATTATCTCAGGCAGCAGCTCAGGGATCTTTCTTGTTTGTAGGGAAATTCTTGCAGGAAATTCATGGTCTCCTTTGCTTTAATCTACTCCTGGTGGTTGTAAGGAGCGCAATGACAATGTTCCTTAGTATTTACTTGCTCTGCTGTCCCCAAGGTCACTTGTTCTGTTTCGCAAACATGGCTTTGGCTCAGGGCTGCCTCACTGTGTCATCTTGATGGGGCAAATGAGATCCAGAGAAGCCAAACTTCCCTGAGGTCTCAAGCCCACAAGGCCTGGAGTAAACAGTTAATGGTGTGTGAGGGCTTACACTATGCTCAATGCTTTTACATGTATTAACCAATTGAAGTCTCAGGATTCCCCATTTGCCACCCCTACTCTGAAATGAGGAACGTTTAAAAACTTGCCCCAGGCCACTCAGGTAGGATATGTGATGGGTCTGAGAGTTGAAGTCAAGCAGCTCTTTTTTTTTTTTTCTTTATTGTGGCAAGAACATTTAACATGAGATTTACCCTCTTAACAAAGTTGTAAGTGTGTGATACAATATTGTAAGATAATAGGCACGATGTTGTATGGCAAACTTCTAGGACTTAATTAGCTTACATGACTAGAACTTGATACCCGTTGAATAGCAACTCCTCATTCCC